TTTCCTTCTTGTTTAGGAATGGAATTGGTAAGATTTGAAAGTCTGCCAGGCAAATTCGAGTCATTTACATATCTCTTACAAAGAGATATGAAGACTGACTTTTCATACAGTTATATGGAATGAGCTTCAAACTTTTTTCTTGTTTTATTTTCTGTTATAGCAGCTTCCCAGGGCCCTTATAGCTACCATTAAAAAAATATATATATTTGCATAAATACCCCAAAAATCTGTAGTTGATAATCCAATACAGTAGCTTTGTAGATAGTAGCTTAAATGCTTTTCTTATGGATAATTTTTGGTGAGGACTAACCATGCTTGTGTGTGTAAAGCATATTTTCCCTTATTTTTAACATTGCCTATGGGTGCTGTTTTATTTGTAAGATTATTTTTTTGTTGATTAGAGAGGGAAAGACCTAAACTTGTGTTTTCATCTTGTCCCTTTTGGATTCCTACTTGGATTCATTCAAGGAATTTAGAAATGGTAATATGGGAGGGGGAACAGCTCTAGTTTTTAATGCTTTCTTAGATATTCAGGATATTCAGTGTTATCACAAAGGGACATTCCTGTCATCAGGAAGGCAACTGGCACAGACAATCACTAGTGTCAAAGCATTCATTTAGGAAAAGGAGGAAAAAAGTTCTTAATGGAGTGTGTCAATAAGGGTGGTTTTCAGTGGGGCTGTATGTAATGTGACACACAACCTGTTGAGTTTCCCAGAGTCAACCCCAGAACCAGTACCGGTGCAGCCTCACTGCACCAGGTGGTCAGACATGCAAAGCTAGTAAGAGTGGAGTGTCTTGATCAGAAAGTTTGCTTAAGTGAAGATCATAACATTTGGTAAGTGAACAAGGACCATGTAGAGATAGAAGAACAAGGAGGATGGCTTGATAGTTTAAGAAAGGGGAGACTAAAGAAATGTGATGATTTGGCTGTAGGCTTGAAACATGGTTGTAAATTTTCGAAATTATATTAGATTGTACAGATCTGTATAATGAGGAAATTAGAAAAGGGACAAAGTTTAATAAAAAAAAGGGGGAAAATGGGATTTTAGTTTTTTACAAATAACATATGAATGAAATTGATTCAAGAGAAACATGGGTAGTCCTCCTTTAAGCCATGTTTATTTTGTTATATAGTGAATAAGTGCCATTATATATTTCAGTTATTTCTTAACTCTGTTTTCATTAGCTTCTATGTAGAGTTTTCTTTAAGTAAAATGCTTTCATTTCATACAAGTTATGTATAAAAGTGTTAATTTTTAAGCTTGTCAGCTTAATGTTAGATTTAAAACCCTTGATTTTTTCATTTATTTATTTATTTATTATTTTTTATTTTTATTGTTTATTCCTTTTTTATCTTTGTTAAAATGAATAGTGGGCATGACTGGTTCAAGGCAGCAAAAACTTGTTGCTAATAAATAACATTTTTATTTATATCTGGTTGCCAAAATATGATTATGAAAACTCTGTGTAATAATGCAAGACTTTTTTGTGCCACTTTAATCATTATCTTTTCACTTTTAGAATGCATGAGTGTTTGCAAATATATGAAATTATGGAAAATGAATGTATGTAAATGTATTAGAAGTTGGTTGTTATTCTTGCTTTTAGACAGGCTGTAGTTTTGTTTTTGTTTCATGAATGTTTCCACTGCATTCACTTTATTTTATAAACAATCCCTATTAGCTTTTGAGATAAAGCAAAAAATAGATTATAAATTTGAAAATAAAGATATCCCTATTTTGCAATGTGCCCTTGCAGAATTAAAGTTTAGACTAATGATCATAAGTATAAACCCCTTTTGTAAGTAAAAGTATGTGTTTCTTTTTGTGAGAGTGAGTGTGTGCTTATGTTTGTTTGTTTGTTTGATTGTTTTGGTGTGTGGATTTCATATTAGCATCTGTATGGATGTGAATAGTCCCATGTTTTTAGTGTTTCAGAAAATTCTTACCAGATAGGAACCCTGACTATAACTAAGGAATTATTTCAGAGTGAGGGTATGTCAAGTAAGTTTTGCTAATGTTTGTGGAATGTATGTCTGTTTATGAATCAGAAAATCAGAAAAATATGTATTTCTGTACTGTGTTATTAGCAAGTAGAGAGAAAATGCTGTATTTTCCTCAAAATGACTCAGTGTAAAAATAAAAGAAAAAATCAGTCCAGATACCAAGATGTGGCCACAGGTAGCACATCTTCAGTCATGTCTCATCATGGTTACACAATGGCTGTTGTAAAATGAAGAAGAATTATCAAGCTTTGAAAACTGACCATGTTCTTTCTGAGGCATAGACAGAGAGGCTAATATCTCTTTCCATGGCACACATGAACACTGTTTAACTATCACTGTCACTTAACACTAAAAGAAGCACACATGAAAGAAGAACAAACAGACATGCACACACACATAAGACTACACAAACACATAAAATATTAACACACACACGTACTCTCTCACACCTACTCACACACACCTCTCACACACATATACTCTCAGGCCCTG